CTGTGTTGATAGCAGTTCCACCATTTTCTCTTCCACCCACAACTCCTTCAGTGCCCATCTTCCCCACTGCCTCTCAAATTCATGACCTCTTGTTTTTAATTATCACTATATTATATAAACATACATATATGCACACACTCTACACATGCATATGTATATATAAATAAAACCTGCTGAGTTCATTTAATGTTGCTTGCATGTGTTTGTGTTTAGAGCTGACCACTTGAGATCGTATATTCTATCAGGGGGTTTGCCCCTAGAGAAGACTGATTCTCCCTCTCTTAGCAGCCATTAATTGTCTGTAGTCTTCATCTAGGGATGGAGTCTAGTGAGGTTTCTCCCATCCACACTGGCATATCAATTGGTGCTGTCATTGTGCTGGTCTTATTCAGATGGCCATGGGCTTAAGATTTCATCCATTATATATAAAAGATATTCACAAGAGACATCCTTGTCCTGTGGCTCTTAGATTCTTTCCACCCCCTTTTCCAAAATGTTACCTGAGCCTTAGGTGCAGTGGTTGTATTATAAATGTATCAACTGGGGAAGTGCCCCCCACAGTTAGCAAGTCTCTGAATTTTGACCAGTTGTGGATTGATGTGATGGTGTCTGCTGAAAAGAAAAGCTTCTTTGGATGAGAGCTACACTTACCTGTGGATATGTAATAAGTATTTGGAACACATGGAGAAATATATAGGTTTGGGAAAGTGGTAGTAATAGATCTTCTTGTAGAGTACATGAACTCACCAGCCATGGTTAGATTTATGACACCAAGCATTTGTTCCCTCCTGCTGAGTGAGCTTCGAGTCCAATTAGAAGGCTGTTGGTTTTCCCCAAGGTATAAGTACCACTATGCATCCTTGAGTATATCTTGCCATGGTGGTACTTGCTGTAGTTTATGGGCTGTACAGCTGGGTGGAACTATTGATTACTTTTCTTCCTTGCAGCTTACACAACCCATTCTGGCACTATGAAAGCCAGTCCTCAGGGAGGGTAATTCTACATTGATTCCTCCAAGTCCTGTGTCCAAAGTGTAAGGTGTCTTCAGCAATAGGGTCTTACCTTCTAGTTCTGGAGAACATCCAAGGACAATAGTGATAGCATTTCTTGTTCATGGAATCTTTTGGACTCCCATGACCAACAATTCAAAGGGAGGTTTCCCATGCCTGGCACTGGAGATTTTGTTAGATGGTCTGTGGCTCTTGGGGTTGGCTACATCGTTCCAAGTTGCATGACTTCAATTAATGTAATTTAATTTAATTATTTACATGTGTATACACACATACTTCTATGTGTTATATAAGTCTTTTAAAAGTAGATCTAATATAATGTTTCCCTGTGGCTTTTTTTAGTCACCCTTAGTGTTCTTTATCCCTTATCCCTACTTCTCTTTCCATGTTGCCCTCCTTCTCCCATTCCCAGATAAAACCCCTCCCTCATTTTTCCCATTTCTCCTTCATAGTACTACTATTCCCTGAATTTATAATCATAGGAAATTTCCTACCTAGGGAAGTTTTCCCCAATTTTTTTATGTTCTTGACATTTTGCTTGCATAACCATTAGAATAATCTTGTTGAGTTCTTTAAAAAGTGGTGGTTTTGACTTAAAATCTATTATCTTTATAATTCTTAGGTCAATACATGCCTTCTTAGAACTTTATATTCTTGTATTGCTATGTACTTACTTTATTGTCCCACTTGGCTTTTCTGCTGCTGCATAAATATCAGAGCCAAAAGCAACTTAGGCAGAAAAGGGTTTATCTGGCTTATAGTTCACAGTCCATCCTGAAGGGAAGCCAGGCAGGAGCTCAAGACAGGAATCTGGAGACAGAACTAGAGCAGAGGCCATGGAGGAGTATTGCTTACTGGCTTGCTCCCTCTGGCTTACTCAGCTGTCTTTTTTAAATAGCTCAGTCCCATCTGCCCAAGGATGTTACCACATGCAATATGTTGCAGTATATTAATTAGCAATTAAGAAAATGCCTTATACACATGGCCATGGGTCAATCTAATCTGAGTGATTCTTCAGCTGAAGTTCCCTCTTCCTGGGTGACTCTAGATTTATGTCAACTTGACAGTGGAAGCTATGACATACATAACAACTATAGTGTATGATAATATATTGCATATAAAAATGATGATAATTTTTAATCTTTCTTTCTGATAGCTATTGTCCTTTATGGTTTTTGTAGTACAAAATTGTAATGATATTGATATACTTGGTTCGCCTACTTTTTAAAAGTAAAATGTTTAATTCTATTGTTAGTACATTATTTTAAATAGGTGTATCCAAGCTGAGCTAGTAAGTTATTTTACTTGAAGGATTTCTCTTTTGCTATGTACTAATGGATAATTGAACCTGATACTAGTGTTAGGATGTTAATCTTTTATTGGTTATTTTTGCATTCTTGAAATAATCTCCATCAAGGTCAAATTTGCCACATTGAATGAATCAAATGGAACCCAGCCAGCTCTGTGTTTTGACACAGTCTCAGGGCTTGGCAAGTGAAGATGAGAGTTTCTGTCCCACCTGGTCCCACAGCTGTTTAGTTCAAAATAAACACACAGAGGCTTATATTAATTATAAGCTGTTTGGCCGATGGCTCAGGCTTCTTATTGGCTAGCTCTCTCTTAATTATTAACCCATTTCTATTAAACTATGTATTGTCATGAGTCTGTGGCTTACCCATAATATTCCAGCATGTTACTCCTCCAGTGATTATGTGGACTCTCTCTGGCGGCTCCTCTCTCCTTCCTATTCCCAACATTCTCCTAGTCTGGTAGCCCCACCTGCCTGGCTACTGGCCAATCAGCATTTATTCATCAACCAATAAAAGAAACATATATTCACAGTATACAGAAGGACATCCCCCATCATCAGGCAGTGAGATGTCTCTGTCAATTCTAGAGTTTATATATTATCCTTCTGCTGTCTTTGATGGAGTTAAAGACAGTTATGGTTATGGTTTTCCTTAGTTATGCTAAAAGATAAGTTACATATAAAACTTTAGACTCACAATATAGCATAGAAGATACAATATTTTCTTTAAATTTTGGCAAATGTTAATGAACTAAATATTGTAACTATAATTCTTGCTTGATAACTGTTTTGTTGTATATAATTTTACTATGTTAAAGTTAAAACCTTTTTATTTAGACAGAAAAGAGGAGATGATGGGAGATGTCCTTCTGTACACTGTGAATGTATGTTTCTCTTATCAGCTGATGAATAGATGCTGATTGGCCAGTAACCAGGCAGAAAATATAGGCGAAGCTACCATACTCGGAGAATTTTGGAAAGAGGAAAGGCAGAGACACAGTCAACAGGGAGATGCCATCTAGCTACCAGGAAGATATGATGCCAGAAATTTTCTGGTAAGCCAAGACCATTTAGAGATACATAGATTAATAGAAATGGTTTAATAATTAAGAGAGATCGAGCCAACAAGAAGCCTGAGTCATTGGCCAAACAGTTTATAATTAATATAAGCCTCAGTGTGTTTATTTGGGACTAACGGGTGGTGGGACTAGGCAGAACAGAGACCTCTGTTTTCAGGCAGGTTTCTCTTTTTCTTTTTTTGGGGGGGGTGTTTGAGACAGGGTTTCTCTGTGTAGCTTTGGAACCTATCCTGCCACTCGCTCTGGAGACCAGACTGGCCTCAAACTCACAGGGATCCGCCTGCCTCTGCCTTCCGAGTGCTGGGATTAAAGGTGTGTGCCACCAACGCCCAGTTCAGGCAGGTTTCTATTCCATGAGCCTTTCTGCTTGGAATATTCTAAAAAATTAATTTTTTCATCAGTTACTGAATAAATAGAATGCCTTACTTCCATTGTTTCAGTCAACATATCTAATATTTTACTGTGAAGTAGCAGCCATGCTACTGAGCGTTTTAGTCAACTAATATATAAGAACATATATATAGTATTCCATGAAGGTAGTGTAATACCTTTCCATATTTCATATATAGAATCAGACATAAATCTTCATACAGATTCCATCACTAATTTATCTATGTGACTTTGACCATGTAACTTGACACCTGACACCATCCCTCCATACACAGCAGTTGGATTATACAACATAAGGTTATTATAAGGATTTCTGTAATGAATGTAAAGTTGTTAGCACAGGGTCTACCTTCAGTGAACAGAAGGTAGTACAGTGTCCTCAAGTGCTGTTCATTTGTCGTTCTCCATTATTCTCTATATATTTGCATAAGATATCCATAATTTCAGTCTTTTGAATGTTTTCAGAAGCAACAGATAAACAGCAAGGAGATGGTAATAGCTTTTGAGGAAAGAGCTCCCATTCTGGAAGGCCAGCATGTGAGCTTGATTTGTGAGTCATCTCAAGATAGCTCTGAGCTTTGAGAAATGACAGAATTGGCAGGGGACCTACTACACTCTCCTTGCCAAGTGGGATGTGAAACCATAGGCTGTATTTATGATCTGTGAGCACCGAGTCCAGAGCTCAGAAGGGCTGCTTCCAGGGGCTCCTGGGAGTGGGAAGTTGACCAACTGGCCCCAGTTGTCCTGCTGCAGCATCCAAGTCTACTCATAGCCTGAAAAGAGGGATGCTGACAGTCACTGTGACCCAGGCTGAACTGAGCTTTAAAGCAGGACAAAACTAGCTCTGTTCATCCTTTTGAAATGGGGCCTAATTATGTTTTATTAATAAATGAAACTCTATGGCCAAATAGGGAAAACACTGTAGAAAAAATACTGTGTGTAGAAAAAGGCTCGTGAGGTTTTCAAAAGAAAATCTGAAAGCTGAGCTAAGTCAGAGAAGAACACCCAGCCTCTAACCTCTTCTCTTGTCTCTCACCATGTTTCTTCTTAAATATGTTAAACTCTTCTACCTAAGGTTTAATTTTTGCTCCTTGGTGATATATTTCTGTGTAGATTATATCATTTGGAGAAAAAAATGAACCATCAAAAAACATCCTTAATCCATTTATTAATGTTAACAGGAAAAAAAGCAAGTCAAAAGATTGACATGGCTATTAATCAAAATATGTTTATTGAGTGTTTTTGCATGTACAAAACATTCTGGCATATTCTATGAAAGAATAAGAAACAATCTATCCTCAGAGGCCTTTTAATCCAGATGGGGAAATAGCCAAGTAATTGACTAGCTATCATATAAGAAATATTGAAATAAATACTATAATTAGTTACTAGGCCAACCCTGTATCCATTGCATGAACACTGTTTTCCTGAGCAAGGTGCATTGGGCTGTATCTGGCTATAACTGAAGACACCTTCCCTCAGATGTTCAGTTGAACCAGCTACACCAGTGTTCTAGGCCCTCAGACGTCAGCTGCTGTAGGCTATCCACCATGTGTACACACAAGCACAAAGCATACTATTGCCAACTTGTGTTGTGGTTTCTTTCCTACCCTTCATTGTATCTGTCTCCACGTTCTTCTTTAGGAAATGCCTCTGACTTTTTAGCTGGATGTGTGGCTTCACAGTGTTGGTCTTTTCCATGGGTTCTTGTTATTGTTGTTGTTGTTGATGATGATGATGATGATGATGATGATGCTTTAATCCCTACCATGATTGGGTTTTTGTTTGTTGATTTGTTTGTTTGTTTGCTCTTTCTTCCATCTTATCTTGGTAGAAAACTCTCAGGTTCAGTTCTCCACCCATAGGGCCCCATCCCTAGGCAGACCAAATCTTGCAATGGGAAAGCAGTTGAAGAATCCCTTGTTATCCATGTAAGAGTCACAGATGTAAAGCAGACCTTCCCCTGCTCTTTGACCCTAGAAAAGCTAATCCTTCAGAACAGAAATCTGGCCTGCCTGGGCAGGTGGTTCACTCCACAGCCAGATCATTGCTAGAATGGGGGATGGTGCCTCTATTGTGGAGCTCAGAGGCTGTCTGTGGGTGCTTCTGTTTTCAAAGCCATTAAAGGTGAAAGAAAACCCCTTGTGGGCTACCAGAGATTTCCCTACACTTGAAATTGTCATTTAATCATTTTAGTCATCCTGAGGACCATGCTGGCCTCCTATATAGTAGGGAGAAAAAGGGAAGTCAGATGAGATATACCAAGGAAACCCCCTGCTCTGTTAACCATCAGGCTAGAGTAACTAGAGACTGTGTCAAATTGTAGGGGAACATCAGAGGGCTGCCTGATGATGGTGGCCAGGGTGGATGAGGCTTTACACCATTCTCTGCTGGTAACTTCATCAAAGAAGTCAGAGTGTGGCCTTAAACCCACCTACACCCTCTTGTCCCCGTGACAAAGACCTCTTGAGAGATAAAATGGCAGTTGATTGTATTTGTTGGAATGCTGAAAAGCCACAAATAACAGAACATTTAACCAAAAGTGGCTTAGACAATACAGACTTTTACTATATCACTGAGTAGAAGGTCAAATGATAAGTGATTCTAAGGTTGGTATAGTGGCTTTCTGGGACTACCCAATTGAGACACAAGCATCTATCAATTCTGCCATTTTTAATATGTCACCAATGGTTTCTATTGAGGCCATAGGTCAAAATAGTAGTGTAACACAGTTGTCTCCCGGATGTGAACTGAGTGAATTCTTCTCAAGAAGCTATTGGCCAGGCTACCTGTGATGTCCAGCTGGTAAAAGGGCTGATCTAAGATGGCATCACTTTTGTCTCTGTAACGTTGGAGGAGTATTTAGAAGGCTGGAACCGTCAACTGAAGTGCCTCATATGGTATCCTTCGCATGGTGGTTTCAGGAAGTCACACTTTGTACAATAGCTTGAAGTGCCTGAAGAGATTGTAACAAGAAACAGAAAAATGGAATCAGCCTGTGTCATAAGGCATGGGCCATAAACTGGCCATGTCCACATTTATAGGGAAAAAATGTTGATCCCACCTCCGACTGAGATGAATACACAACAATCTAATCATCTTTGACCCACACATAGGTTGTGTGGATATACAACAGTTAAGCTGTCATAATAAAGGTATCAGACACATAGTGATGTAGAGGTAGGGGTAGCTTGGTTAATAAAGTGCTTGCCATGCATGTATGAAGACCTGAGTTCAGATCCCCAGTGTGAGCATAAAAAGAGCTAGAGGCAGTACATGTCTGTAACCCCAGCACTATGGGTACAAGAAAACTCTGGAAGCTCACTGGCCTTCAAATTTAGCCAAGATAGTGAGTTCCTGGTTCAATGATAGACCTTGTCTCAAAAGCAAAGGTAGAAAACACTTTACATTGACCCCCCCCTAGCCTCCGCATGCGGATGCATATGTGTGTACATGCATTCTCACACACAAACACATATACTATGCAAGATCTATAATAATACATGTGGTTATTTAAGCAAAATAGAAGCTTGTTTCCCTCACTAATAAGAGTTTTAAAATGAGCATGAATCTTATCTCCTGGCCCTGCCAGAATTGGTTCCCACATCTGCATCCCAGGGGAGGGTCTCTGGTTATTATGTTTTTCCAGCAGTAATAAAGGAAAACTAAGAATGGAGTAGGAGCATTTTCCTTGTAAAGGGACAATGTATAGGCTGGAAAGACGGCTTAGTAGTTAAGAACACTTGCTGCTCTTCCAGAAGTCTGGAGTGTGATTCCCAGCACCCACATCAGGAAACTCACAACCACCTGTGACTCCCAACCCGGTAGTTCTGACAGTCTCTTCTGGTCTCTGCCAGACCAGACACTGTAACACATGAACACGAATAAAAATTAAAACCACTTAAAAGGCAGGCAATGGTGGTACACACCTTTGACCCCGGAACTTGGTAGATAGATGTAGCACATCTCCATGAGTTTGAGGCCAGTCTGGTCCACGTACGACTTCCAGGTCATCTAAGGCTAGATAGAAAGACACTATCTTAAAAAAAATAAATCTTTAAAAAAAATGATATGCCTTTTACTTTGGTTTAGTGTTAGACATATGGTCTGTTATTGCCAAACAGAAGGATAAGAAGAATGGGTGTTGGGAACAGTTACTTCTCTGGTTTCTGCTGATAATACAAAAATAAATAGGTAATAGTAAATGAATTAAACTCTAAATAAGTGAGTTGGCATCTGGCATAGTTTATGATCAATCCTATGTATACACGGCCCTTCATAAGTGGGGTTGGGAGTGAGCCACAGGCATTCTGAATGTGCCTATAATTACTGGGCCATTCACCCAAACAGAAATCAATAATGAGCAGACACCCTGTCTGAACCTGTATTTGCATAGTGACTGAAATCATCCGGTTCATTTGGTGGAGTCCTTCTCTTTAAAAGTATTTGAGGAGGCTTCTTGCTCTGAATTTCATAGACACAGTGCTGGTTAGTTTTTAGTCAACTTAAAACCGACAAGGAAAAAAAAATAGTCATCTGGGAAGAGGGAACCTCAACTGAGAAAATGCCTCCATCAGATTGACCTCTAAGTAAGTCTGTGGGTATCTTTTTTGGTTAATGATTGATGTAGGAGGACCTTGCCATCTCCATGCAGATAGATGGTCCTAGCAGGTAGAAAACAGGCTGAAGAAGCCATGAGGAGCAACCTACTAAGCAGTGTTCCTCCGTGGCCTCTGCCTCAATTCCTGCCTTAGCTTCCTTCCATGATGGACCGGAAGCTATAAGGTGAAATAAATTCTTCCCTCACAAGCTGGCTTTGGTCAGTTTCTTTTCCCAACAGCAGAAAGGAAACGAGGTCAGAGCCCACAAAAGAACTGGTTGCTTCAAGTAATAAGCAAAACAGTTTGCTGGGTAGCTATAGTTGGTACTTTTCTCATCATTGACAAAATACTTCCCTGAAGCAGCTTATAGGAAGAAGGACTAATTTTGGCTCAAGAAGGAATATCCCACCATGGTGGGCAGGTTTGGCAACGAAGGCATGTCAGAACTCGTAGTGATGGGAACCTATGGCCAGGATTCTTCACATCTCAGCAGACTGGCAAGTGGTGACCAGGATGTACAGTCTCTAACATTCAAGGCCCAGCCCCACAGTCTGACATCACCAGCTGGATCAGAAAAGTTCAAGAAGCACCGCCAGCTGGGAAACAAGTGTTTCCCATGGGTACATGTCACATTGAAACCATAGCACCATTCAACGAAAGCTATGAGGAAGATCTAACCACAGATGCAGGCACGGCAAGGCTTCACAACAACATCAACCTCATCTAAGCAGCCAGCCCTACCCCCAAGGGTGCTGGTGAAGCCCTTCCAATGGGAAAGCTGGCATGGGTGTGGTGTTTGCTGGAATTCCTTCTGGTTCTGAGAAACTCATCTGCAGCCTGTTCACAGCAGGCTGGGTAGTTGTCTTGCTTTTGCCAGTGCTAATGCTACATTAGGGAACACCTGGGCATCTGCCCCACAGGGCTCAGAGCACCAACTCGTGCTCCCACAGATCTGAAAGCAGCCCCAATCCTGTCTGCTTCTGTATTACAGTTCTGAGCAAACTTTATTTGACTAAATGTGTTTCATTGCTTTAAAAGAAGATTGCTAGCTATTGGTTTAGGAGGCTTCTTGGGCTCAGCATACAGCCAGCTTTTGATCTCTCATACACTTTTACACCTATTTTCAAGAAATAAATAGTCTTCACTGGTTCTTGGAGGATAATTTTAATAATATATTTGGTGGAATATTTGAAATGGAATAGAGCATCATGTCTGTGGGCTTCACTTATTTATTGTTGAATCTATTCAGCATCTGTATTAAAACAGAAAAGAAGCACTTCTCTTTTACCGGCCAGACGGGACAGAGTGGCAGAAAACACATGGATTTTTCCACGCAAACAGACTTGGGTTTAAATATCATCTCTGCCACTTACAGTTCTGTGATATTGGGAAGTACGTTGTCATCTCTGGGTCTCCTTTTTCTTGAGCATAAAATAAAGATAATGAGTTGGCTGGAGAGATGGCTCATCGGTTCAGAGAACCAAGATAGTGTTCCCAACCCAACATCCTCTTCTGCTTCCATGCACTCCTGCATGCTCATAATGCGTACACACACACAGACACACAGACACACACACACATAGACACACACACACACACACACCACAAACAAGGATAACTAAATCTTTTAAAAATAAAATAAAGATAATAATTCCTACATTATAGTACCACTGTGAGAAATAATAAACTGCCTGCTTTATGTAAAGCACTACACACAGGGCCTAATGCTATTAATGACTATTTGTTATGGACAACTACTTGGAAATCCCTTCAGGCCTGAATGCAAATTCTCCACCAGCACCACTGGGAACAGCCACTCCAGTCCTGGACCCAGCATTGTGCTTTAACAAGCCCTCCTGGAGATTCCATTTACCTTGAGCTCAGAAATGCAAAAGGTAGCTATCCACCTACATGGCATTCCAACTGATAATGTATGCTGGGGTGGATGTAGATACACCCTCTTTCATTTCCTTTAATGACGGCCCTAGGGTCTCCACTGACATAATATCTGTGGCTCTCAGCTATCCCTTATTCAGGCAAGCCAAACATCTTATATGCTCCCCCTTCCTGAGCCTGTTCTTGCTCTCTCCAGGGGTCTGTATCTCGCCTGGGTCAACAAGTTCAGGAAATAACAGGTTGGGAACTCAGCCCATCACCCTCAGGCCAGCATCTCTCTCACTTGTCACTATGTATTTCCATCTGTCCCACTGATAAAATACAGTTCCTTGACTGTAGGAACTATGTCTTAATCATCTCTATGTCCCCTTCACCTGGTATATGTAGTAGACTCCTAATAGAGGGTAGCAAATGAATGAAGTGTCAGCCCCAAATCAGAAGGGCATTTGTTCCTGAAGCAGTCAGGTATTAGGCATGCTCTAGTACCCAATATATTTCTGGTCCTGATGACAAGTAGGCAACAGCAGTGCCTAGAGACCATTGAAATGTTACTTGGGCCCCCTCCACCCTTCGGCTCCTTTCAGTGCCACAAGGAAAGCTGTGTGACAAACTCTCAATAGATCAGAGCCACTTTAGAAGCAGCCTAGGAAAGCAAGCTGCAAGGGTCCATTTCTTTTCTCTGTCATAATTTGTTTTCCCAGTTGCCAGAGAGGTTGGAATGAGCTCTGCCGGTTGACAATTTGGATAGAATAACTTTTCTGTCTCATGAATTCTGAACAGCTGAGGACCGAACTCTACTCTGGCTTGTGGAAAATGAACAAAGCCCTCAGAGGGATAGGTGGAGGTGGAGCACAGCCTCAGCTGAGGATGAATTTGGCCCTGTTCCCAGGCTCTCTCTGAAGTTATTCCTGCCTTCCAGGTCTTTCTATGCTGTCCATGTACACACAGTTATCCTGCTCACCACCCTGTCCCCACCACCCAGGTCCACCTATGTTGGATCCATTCATCTAACCCACTTAGATGAGCCAGGATGAATACAGATTTCTCTTCCACACATTAATTTATGGAACCTTCCTATTGTCATGGAAGTGTCCCCACCTGCCGCAGTCACATTCTGCTTTATTGAAAAGCAGCAGGAAATTCATCCTTCATGAGAAAACTTTAAGTTAAATTCAGACTATTGGGGAAAAGTTGTCCTGGTTGCAATTTTTCTCTAAATCAAAGTGCACTGTAGGGGTTAGGCTAAGATAGGAAGCCCCTGTAATGAGGACAGCAGGTAATCCCTGAGAATGGGGGAATGGAGACCAGTGCAGAAGGTGTGGGTTAAAACATGTGATCCTAGGATCTCACCTTTGAATGGATGGTGACCAGACTCCAGTCACCATAGCTAGGATGTCTTCTTTCAAGTCACTTGATATACTGTGTGTCCTTTTATAGCTTGGCTGAAGGAAGATGTAGACAGAAATAAGTGGTCTTCATGGCCTCTTGGAAAAGAATGGTCAGAGAAAAGTTCTCCTATGCCATCCCAGAGAGGAGAGAACACGACATGAGATTTTGATTGCAAGGCAAGGCTAGCCCCATAATGAAAGTAAAAACATTTGACATAGAACCATAGTAGTAGCCATTAAGACCATCTAGCCAAACCCTTTTTCTTCATCTGTACACTTGCTGGGAAATACCGTTTATATTGGAGTTTCTGGTCAGGTGTGGTGGCACATGACTATAATCCTAGCACTTAGGAGCCTGAGGGAAGATCATGCCTGAGCTACATTGTGAGTTCAAGGTCAGCATGGGCCATATAGATTTCCTGATTCTCATTGTCAGGCTTGTTTTCTACATCAGAATGTTAGGGAACCCTGAGCCACTTCCTTTGTAAATCCCCTCATACCTCAAAATGCACATACTGAAACAGGAAGGAAAAGGGCTACACTCTAAGTGTTGTGAGATAGTTATACACTGTGTAACAATATATCGCTATGGTTGGTTTAATGAAAAGTGGAATGGCCAATAACTAGGCAGGAGGTATAGGCAGGATTTCTGGGGAGGGGAAGGAAGAGGAAGAGGAATCAAGGTGTGCGGGAGATGCCAGGAGAAACAGAGAGGAAACAGGAGGTGCAAGATGGAAGACAAGTAATGCTTTGTGACAGAATTTGATTAATATAAATGGGTTAATTTAAGTTATAAGAGCTAGTTAGGAACAAGCCTAAGCTATAGGGCAAGCTTTCATAATTAGTAAGGAGTCCCCATGTCATTATTTGGGAGCTGGCTGACAAAGACTTGTTACATCTAAGCCTGAACCAACAAACATCTTTGGTGAAAAAGCACTTGAATTGAACCTTGAAAAAAAAGGATTTTTCTTCCCATCTTCAAGGGGCCATTGTTAAAGGTAAATAACAATCATAGTACTTTGTTTGTTGGGTTATTTTAAGTAAGGCTTTGAAATGGTTTTCTCCCTTGGCTTTCTCATTTTTGTACATTATATACTTGAAGAGGTGTTCACACTGACTGGTGACAGAAAATGCAAACACAACAAGATATAAACTCTGACCTTAAGAACACCCATAATATAGCATAATAAACTATAACTAGAAATCCATTTCAGCATTGCATTACAGATCTATAACTTACAGGTAATTTCTGTCATTTAAATATTCTGGTGAGCTGATGGCCAAATTGGGTTCTTAAGGAGAAAACAATTTCTCCTGCATTAAGTGTTATTACTTTAATTGAGTAATATCTGGCTCTCATGTGGTGATGTTAGTTAGTATTATTACCCATCTTGGTGATTTTCACCCCACTGTTTCCAGGGAAAGTATAGCTCATTAAATGGACACATGATTAAAGCAAGGAAAAAAAATAAAGCTTTGAGCCTTTCAAGGCTCATTATGCCAAGGTCAGGACAAAGAAATGGCCTTGACCTTGAAATGGAACAGAAGACCTGACCTGGACTAACCATTGAATTTAAAGAAGTCTAAGAGAAAGCCTTTTATCCATGGTAGGACACAATGGGTTATCTCAACAATGTGTTGTTCTGAAAATTAGTGTTCATTAATTCATTTGTTCTATTTAATTATCTACTCAGTCAGTCAGCACACTCCATGTACCTGGATGATACTGCGAATGAAGATTCTATGGTGACTGAAGCTGTGTTGGCATCTTAAGATGTTCTATCCCACAAAATCAGTCAGGAGCCCAGTGATGATGGCACAATGGCCAATGCCCTTCTCAGCAAAGAGAACCTGAACAAGATTTGTGAGTGCAGAGGACAACTTCAAACTCTGCTCTTTCTCTTATAATACTTCATAATCTTCTTTGTTGTTTTGTCCCTGCTATATACTTCCTCCATCACAGTCACAAAGCCAGGTCTCATCAGGCTGTGGCAAGTGACTAGAGACATGATGTGACAAGGGACCTGTTTAGAAAATCAGCATCCTCCTAGGTGACACCTTATTGTCTTCTTGCTAAAGTGTCTCAACATCTTGAGACACACAAAGCTTTCCATGCCCCATCCCATTAAGTAGAATCACTTTGAGGGCATTATTTAAAACTATAGATTTCTGCACCTAGAAATTGCAGTCTTTCTGAGGTAGGGCTTTTAATATTATTTTATGTGTAACTCCAACAAAATAACTGACAAAAGCAACTTGAGGAAAAGTTCATTGTGGCTCTTAGTACAGACCATGATGGTAGGGTGTCATGGTAACAGGAACAGGCGGTGGCTAGCCAGTTTGTATGGTGTCTTCCTCTGTCATTCTGCACTTTACTTTTTTAGACAGAGTCTCTGACAGGACATAAATACTGGGATTTGAACTCAGGTCTTCTGCTTTCATGCTTAACACTCTTACCCACTAAACCATCTCCCCAGCCCTTGGCAAAGAGAGATCAAACAATGAATTCTCAGCTCATTTTCTCCTTTTTCTTCAACCAGAGACCCATCTATGGAATGGTACCACCTTCATTTAGTGTGGGCTTTCCCACCTAAATAAACCTAATACAGGAACTCCCTCTGAGATATGACAGAGATTTGCCTTCTGGGAGAGTCCAGATCCTGTCAAGTACCACCTTCATTTAGTGTGGGCTTTCCCACCTAAATAAACCTAATACAGGAACTCCCTCTGAGATATGACAGAGATTTGCCTTCTGGGAGAGTCCAGATCCTGTCAAGGTGATGATCAATATTAGCCATCACTGAGCCTGAACACAAGTTGACATTGAAGTTTTTTTGGGTGGGATAAACTTGAACTGTGTACCCATTTCTATGATACAAACACCCCCACGCCATTTGGTTTCAAGCTGCTAAGTGTAATGTCACTGAAAACCGAGTGGAGGTAAGGTACTTGTAATCACCTGTCAAGAGCCAGATGAGTTGATCTCAGCCCACCAGCCCCACCCCCCTTACTAATCCCTAATACCCAGCAGATTCCTGTTCCAGAAGCAAAAGTGTCATTTAGGCTCTGCAGCCACCAGAGGCTGTTAGGGTTGCCTCTGTTTTTTGTTTGTTTGTTTTGTTTTGTTTTTTTTTATGTCTTGCATATCAGAAAACAGGGACCTCTGCAATTAGGGCTGTCAAAGTTGGCATCACTTTAACACAGTACAATGCAATAAAGCTTTACTATTCCCCCTAATTTTCAAGCATGGGTTTTAAAAAGTGGGTAAGATCACTAGCAATGGAAGTGGGGACCTGTGTTCAAATCCTCACACTTCAGGTTCAATAAGAGACACTATTTCAAAAACTAATGGGGAGGTGGAGAATAATAGAGGACGACACCACATGTTTTTTAACCTCTGCACACAGAGATGTCTAGACCTATGTACCAATAACACCCCTGACACATTTACAATCAATCAATTTATTTAAAAAAAAAACAAATCCAGGTGCCATGCCTCTAATCCTAACATTAAATATAACAACAACAACAAGAACACTAGAGTCCAACCCTCTCTGCACCACTGAGAACCGGAAGTCCTTTACAAATGGCTGACTCTGTCATCTGGCTCCAGCCTCGCAAAGACTCTGGTGGAGTATTTATTCTCTCTGCACTCTATTTCCCTTGTTTCTCTAAGCCACTTCTAGCAAGAGCATCATAAGCAAATCAAGATGGAAGTCTGTTTAAAGACTCTGTGAGCCACTGCCAATTCGATCACCTGTTAAATATGTGCCCACTTTATCCTTTGTGCCCAACCCTGTGCTGAGCCTCCGGGAAGGTAGAGCTGTGTGGATTTGCACCTGCTCCTCTCTTGAAGCGCTCACGGTCAGGGGTGACAAGAGGATACCACACTTTAGTGAGACAGACCCCACCACTCAGACCAACCATAAAACCACCTCACAGGACCTGGGAAATGTAGATTATGTACTAGCACACTCATAACTATCACACAGGCCACACCCAGGTCATAGCAGCTGGCCTGGTCATGAGGATGAAGTGGGTAGGGGCCTGGAATAAAGAGAAGGTATGGAAGTGGAGGTGAAGAATAAGGAGCAGCTCTGGAGGTAGAGTAGCCTGGCCAAATGCTCTGTTTACAGCACCTCAGCTGGGCTGGGGCAGGTGCAGTGAGGAAGTACAAACTGAGGCATGCATCCTTTGTACTGCTCTAAGGTAGGATGAAGGCCCCATGGTGGCTGTGGGGTGTCAGAACCCACCCCCTCCAGAGTGTCTGTGAAAGCCATCCCCATGATCTCCCAGACTCTGGGATATGACAGCTTCGCTCACTATCAGCAGGGCCCAAGTGCATGATAGAAATCAGAATTGAGTGCCCAGGTGATTGTAAATGTCATACTCAGACACCAATGTGCCTCTTTTTCCCTTTTGGCTTCAAGTATAAAACACAACTGTGGCCATCTGTAGGTGGCGGGGTTATAAATTGTTTTGATGGTATTTCTTTTGCCTAGTTCTAGTTTCTGAAATATTCTACAATGAACACACTTTACAATAAGGAAAAAAAATCTATTGCAAAGTGGTCATACAGTTTCCATCGAAACAGCAATCCTTGACTGACTGCTTAAGAAATATTCAACTGAATTACAAATGGAGAGAAATTATTGATAGGATCTAACTTTAAACCTCTAAGCTATTTCTTTTGTCCCCTCTGCTTTGTAGAGTACGAAGGAAGACAGAGATGTCTGAACAATCTTGAAGAGTTACTTTTATTGTTATAGCTGGGAGCATGGATTGTTTCCATGATTTATATTTCAGGAAACTTTGAATACAGGAAAATTGCCCAATAGTTAGAGATGATGGAATTATCAATATTTTCTTTTCAAAGAAAGGAAAACATTGTATCAGAGAGTTGTCTAGTTGATAAAAATATCATCATATGAAGCCTGGGCTGTGGGAGAGCAATCAAAAAACAAATGAAAGGGTGAATGAACGAATTTAGGCATATTGAAGATGGATGGGTTCCAGTTGAAATGTGTGAAGTTTTAAAAGAACTTTAGAATAGGATGTAATGACAATGATCTTTTTATACATAATTTGACCATCCTTTTTAATGTATATGAGTTTTGCCATAT